TCACGAATATTGTTGTTATAACTTTGGTCTCCAGAAATGTGCACACGAGTGTTGTATCAAGAGATGTTTGGAGTTCAAAGATTACCAGTAGATGGCTTCGTGTTCCAGTGCGTGATATCCTCCTGGTATGTACATGTGTATATATGTCTTGAATGTGTTGATGCAATAATGTACAAAAGTAAACATGTACTTCAATAAACATTACCAAATTCATTCATGGAGTTATGTGGAGCTGTGTTCAATCCTTGAAATATTCATGTTTCAAGTTTGAGGTGACTATTGGCCATATTTTAATCTTGTGGCCACCAAAAATATCTGTCGCAACACTCTGGATTATATCCTGTACCATGTATACACATCCACGGTTTCCTGGGTTCAGAGCAACATTCAAGGCAACGTGGACACCTGTTACAGTGGTCCGGTGGAAGTCCTACTTCTGAATGCATACAGACTCAATGCAGATGGTACACTCTTTACATGTTATAGTGATAACGCATGCGTTTCATAGGTTTATGTTTCTGGAACCTATGAAACGTAACACTGGCTATTGATAGTACAGAGTGGCTCAGAAACAAAGTGAATTTGTCAGTTGTTAAACATATATAAAAATACTTTGATTGTCTAAAGCAGGGGCCACATGGGGAGTACGAAAGTTGGATAAAATGGAACTTGTTCAATAAAATGATCCAAAGCTTACTGCATTTTTCATACAAAACTATGAGTTCAGTTCCTGTCAGTGTTTCAAAACACTGCAACAATTCAGCGACGTAACTACTTGATGTTTAAGGAGATTGGGCTTTGAATCTACAAGTTGCTGACTATGTTCTCTCAAACCTTGCACATTGAACTGGTATGCTTGCTGCTGCCATATCTGCATATATCTGATGTGTAGTAGGTACCATGCATGACTGAAACGTATCATCCAGACTACCATTGAAACTCTTGTCCAATGGCCGCCGTGATGTTGCTGGAATATTGCTAAAAGCGGCGTAAAACCAAACTCAGTCAGTTAGTCTTGTCCAATGGACACACTTTACTGCTTTACTGACCACACATAGTCCAACCTCACGCTGTTTACACACACTCCAGCACAGCGATGACTTAACATAACATCACTGCCACAGGCTAATTTGCATATCATGTGACAGGACTTTTCTCTTGTTTGTAATCAAACGCGCATATTCATAATAAGAAGAGACTGGACTCACGAAAGCTTTTCGGCGCTCTATTCATAATGTTTACATTGTTACATATTTATTCTTCCACAACTGCGACAGTTAGGTCTATGACAGTACATATTTAGGTATCAAACTGGCTGCATCGTTTGCTCTCCGTCGGCTTCGATGACAGCACGTGGAGCCGTACAACCTATGTAAATAAAGGATCGCTACGCAAATCGAAATAGTGTTACATGCTTTTGGATATTTTCTCAGTGAAACTAAACCATTATATTAAAGATGTTTAGTTAGATGTGTAGACTCGTCAAAAATAAAAGAGTAAAAGAAATCTGTACATTATATTGAATGGACATTGCAAGATGTGACGAAATCGTCACATTTTTCTGGCCTGTGGCAGAGGTACTATGCTGGCTTGCCGCATGGAACTCTGGGTAGGAGAGTGGCTGTGTAAAATGTACAACTCTTGACCAAACATCAGTGTATGTTAATGTGATTTAACATGTAACACAGCATTCAAGACAACTGCACTTAGAGTGAGTCTGCTTTTACACCACTTTTAGCAATATGGCAGGGACACCAGAAATGGGCTTCACACATTGTACCCATGTGGGGAATCAAACCTGGGTGTTCAGCATGACGAGTGAATGCTTTAACCACTAGGATACCCCACCACCCCCTATTGCACTTTGAGATGTGTGCAGTTTCATAGTCTTATCCCAGTTTAACAAGTACACCCTTCAGCTGACAGACTCCGAGCTGACAGACCACCTCCGTGGTGTAGTGGCTGCAGTATCCGCCCAGAGTGCGGAAGGTTGGATTATGAAGGAGTAAGGATATACTCCGAAACATTGTGTTAATCATAATAAAAAAACTCTCTACCTTATGTGTATCACTTCTAAATGCCTTTCAAAATCCAGCAGTGTTTGAATATTTAAAATGGCAGCATTAAACAAAAAAACAAGATAAACTATATCCAACAATAAAAACATGACAAGGTTGACAACTTTGTACATATTTTATTATAACAATCCAATATAGTTACAGCACTCCTACGTTGAGCAGAGAAATAATGTTACAAGTCCCAGCTGTGGTGATGGCGTTTTGACCGAAGCCGCCGTCGCAGTGCACAATCAGGGAATGCCTCACTAACTCCCAGGGAACCAAATACCCGAGACTAACATATATGTTAGTAGTTGCCAAGGCAACACAACCTGTGCATCTGTTCCAGCGATGGCAATACGGTTTCAAACCAATGCTGTTTTCATGTTTCAAAGGACAGAAGCAAGACAGAATCAGATTCCAAAGCTAATAGAAAAATAACAGTAGACTGTCTCCAAATGATACAAACACATAGCATACGTTGTCAGCATTAATAACTAAGTTAATTCACTTGGAAAGAATTGGAACTCTGATAAAAATATACTGAACTCTACCCACACCATCAGGAGGTGAGGGGCAGACGTCAGTTGTTCTTTGGCTTCTTATCAAAGATAAATGGATTTCTGTTTCAGTATTTAAAGATTTTCTGCAAGTCTCTCTCAACCTGAATTAGAAACTATTGGAATCACAAAAAGCCTGCTATTTATAATCCTGAGTCAGGGCATGCAAATGTTTACGATGCTGAGTCAGGGCAGGGTATTTTTCATACCGGGTACACAATATTATCACATGCACAAACCTTAAATGGAATCATCCTATGTGTATAATGTTCTAACGTGACACAGAGAATCACTGGAAGGAGAGATCCAGGATCACTGCATCAAGGAATTTCTGTTTATGTAGTCACATAATTTAAATACACGACCGATTTAGCATTATCTGTTGGTTTTGACTATAAACAATGTACCAATCTGATTTAATCAACAACAAACTAGGATCTAAAATATGTCAAATACATTAGGTATATAACATTATATCAGCTAAATAACAATCTACTCTACAGTGAAATTATCCATTATCAGGGCCCAATTTTTTCTCACACCAGCCCTGAATCAGGATAACAATCAATAATTGTGTGAAGGATTAATCTTGTCAAACTTTTGGAAAGACTACTGTACATATTTATTTATTTACCTATTCACTGACAGGCAGGGTCAATGTGCAGTAGTCTTACCAACATTTTATACACATCACAAACCAACATGATTAAGAAACAATGGAAGACCTACAAAGTTAATAAAGAATCTACCTTTCGAGTTAGGTGACAAAACTCATATATGACCCCATGCCTGGCACTCGATTCAGTTACTTTGAATATTAGAGTGAGTTGGGGTTTAAATTGATTTTAACAATTTTTCAGCAATATCATCATGGGTGACACCAGAAGTGGAGAATGAATTGTAGGATTTTGTCGTCACCAATGTGCACATTCACCACTTGTCTCCCCAGCACACTGGTACTTTGTTGTGTTCATTCCTTCCCACATGGAGAAGGGGTTGGAACAGTAAACATTATGGCTTTCAGATGTGGAGAAGAAATCCTTTGCCGTGTCTGGGTCTTATCCCAAGACAGGGCCCATCCATAAAAGCAGCGTTTAAAATTCCCGCCTGCCCGACCATCCGGAACGGTCTATTTTCTTCTCGGACGGTCAAATATCAAAAGTAGCCTGTCCGGTGGTCTGGCAGATATTTTTACCCCTAAGTGTAAATATTTCATAATATCAGACAGGTTCTCGTGTCATCAGTTTTAGGTGTTTAAGGTATTATGAAAATGATGTTAAACTACATACGATTGTACAGGTCATGTTACGATAACCAATCATAACACATGTACTTTCAGTTTACCCAAACTCGGCGCATTGCCTGTCAGTGCTATGAAGTTCGTTGCGATGCCTACAAACAGTGAATGGCAGTTGCAGTTTTTTATTGTTGAAAACCGGACAGAAAGCTTGTGTCCGGACTGGTAATTTTTTAAAGTTACCAGTCCGACTGTCTGGCTTGGAATTTTTGGAGTTTTAAACACTGATAAAAGGTCCTGGGTCGTACATTGAGGAAATACTGTACTAAACTGACTTGATCTGATGAACAAATCTATCTGTAAATGTGTTTGTATTTGTGTCAATGGGAACAGATTGTTGTACCAAATCAAGCGTCTGGGAGGTGGCAGGCAGTGGTTTAACTGCTTTTTACAGTTCATCATCACCTTGAAACCAATCCTGTTGGTTGGAGTGTAAGGAACAGGGTCAGTTACAACGTGCTCTGTACTGAAGAAGTACTGTACCCTGCAACATGGAGTTCTGAAACTCCGGGATTTTGAGTGAGTCAGACGAAACAAGTCCCCCTGTAAACATGCCCCTGGACAAAATGGGAAGGTATTACAGTGTTGAGCCATATCACTGCCACGGAGATTGCCATCAGAGGTTTGGCTGATACAAAGTAAGGTGTAACGTGACATCAACTGTTATTGTGTCCTGACATCTGTGCAGGCCAGCAAGCCATGTCGTACAGGCTTCACAAGATGTCTCCTGGCCAATCAGATAGCTGGACGAGATTCAGATTCTTATGAGTAATATAAATTTCTCCCTACACGACGCTAAGGACCCAATACATGTTGACCGGGCCCTGTTAGACACAAGACTGACTGACTGAGTTTGGTTTTACGCCGCTTTTAGCAATATTCCAGCAACATCACGGCGGGGGACACCAGAAATGGGCTTCACACATTGTACCCATGTGGGATTCGAACCCGGGTCTTCGGCGTGACGAGCCAACGCTTTAACCATTAGGCTACCCCACCGCCCCCAGACACAAGATATCTAATACTGTGACATGTTGGTAAACAGCCAATTCCTGCTAATGAACCCTTCGCATGACTAGAATTTGGTTTTTGGTGAATGCCAGAACAAGAGCTTGTGACAAATACACGCCCCGGTGGCTACTACAGGAAATATGGTATTTTCCCCAGATTTAACAAGCAGACGTGAAACTAACTAATTTAGTTTCAACAGAAAAACGATAATTTAGAATACCAAATATTAAGCCCATAATAAACGACGACTGATTTAACTTGCGGGAGGGACTTAGCAGAACAACAATATCTACATGTATATTAAACTTTGTTAAACTTCATAGCAAACTTCAACAAATTTTCTAGAACCAGTCAGGCAGCAGAAAAAACGCGTACACATTACGCGACCAGTACTAATTTCATAACAACTACTAACACTGCCCAATATTGCACAATAGATTATGATGGTCTGCACACAGGATACTACCTGTACAAGTGTATGCTTATGGAAGGCAGCAGCAGCAGCAGACGTTACTGACGCCACTAGCCTGGACCAACAGAGAAACTATTCAAGGTGGACGCTGAAGGACAGTCTGACATCATCTTACAAGTCACTGATAAGCAAGAACAATAGCAGACAGTAAGTTCTGACATTGAATCTCGGTCATGACATGGGTCTTCTAATACTAGTGTGTATGCCAGGATGGTCCCATTCTACAAGCTGTCATGGTGGTACAATGGAACCTCCGATTCATCCCTCCAGTACAAGTGCCCCCTTCCTATATACACAGACGGATATTGTCCACCTGAAGCCTGTTCTAGGGCAGCCTGTCAGTGAGGGGAGATAACCTCATCAGTCTGCTGCATCACAGCCACCATGGGTCTGTAACCTAGTCTGGACAAGATACACCAATGACTGCATAATCTACGATCAACGTTACCGGAGTTCAATGGCATGCACAGCCAGATACAGGTTCAAGACTTTCGCAGAAATGGAAAACAATAATTATAAGTACATTGCAATATGGATTATGTATTTTAAGCATTCTGAAAAAAACAAAACAAACTTCCCTCAGAAATATACGTCATATTCATCAATTCTGACAGCCTCAACCGTGATTAACGAAAGACTGCATGAGGATTTAGTTTTAAATGTGGTTCACACATAAATGGCCATATAGTCCCTTTAGGTTCATCCGAGATGCTACATCGCTACATCCTGCACACACGACCACTGATCACAGGCTCTTGTGTTTGATGGAAGATCAGTTTTTTTCAATCAGTTTGGAGATGTGATCAACTGAACTGATTTCTGAGACCAAGAAGACTGAACTGATCAAAGAAAAACACCCAACTAACTGTCAGAAACAGTAGCCCACAACTGGGAAATTGTGAATAGTGTTTTCTGAAGCATAGATAATACATAGTCAGGGCCCAGCTCCACAAAATAACCTTAGTATTATGCTTGTCACAAATAACTGCGTGTAACTAAGGGAGTTGTGATTGTCGAGAGTGGAACTTGGGTCAACATGGCAAGATATTTATCGGTGGAGTCAGGTACACCTTGATGTCTGACCATCAGGACCTAACACAGCTGCTGAACTCAGGGGACATAACTCTTCAACCATCACAGTAAATCTGAGGTAAGTGTTGAAAACGTTCTCCCTCTTGATCTTGAAAACATTTCTCTTGATCTCCATGGGTTTTTAAAAACATGACAAAAGAATCTTTATAGAGCTGATTCAAAAGATCTTGGTCACTAAATTTAAAACAAATTATGTGAAAAAGGTATGAACATCAACCTTTGACCCCTTGGAGATAAGTGTGGTCTGCAAGTCAAGGGAGAGAACTCAAGTGTAGTGAATGTTGACAACAAAACGTTTTAATCTAAGAAATACTGTAACAAGGCAGATTATACATCAATCTCTTATTGACACAGACAAACAATCAAGTAATAACAGACTTGTTTCTAGTATTTGCGTAGCTCATAAAATAATTGTAAATTTAAGATTTAACAAACAGTAAATGTCATGACAGACATCAACTACATGAATACCAATGTTAAAAGTTGACTTCTATATTCATGTAAACAACATTGTCCTCACTATCACACACCAAGAATGCACCACTGTGAATCATTGCAAAAGTGGCAGCTATTAAAGAGGGACTAAGCTCAGAACACTGTCAATTTGTCTCACCAGACTGTAAACTACCCAACCTTTGCTAGAGATATTGCTATCTTTCAACCGTACAGAAAACTGAAACAGAATGACGTACTCCACTTTCCCTATCAAACTCGGAGCGGTATAATCTGGATCTCAATGTGATGACATATTTTCTGTCCCCTTCACACAACATTTCAGAGTCGCAAACTTACTAGCATAGACTTTTCAACACATTGTTAATCTACTGAATCCGAAAAATTGAAATGGTAATTTAATTTTCCATTAAATGTACGGTCCAGAAATATGAAAAATGAAATAAAAAAGCTAGAATCTTGCAACTAAAACCTTTTGACAATTTTACCTTTTTAAAATAAACAACTACTTAACAGTTTGACAAATCAAGCAAAGATTTTAAAATGGTAATGTTTTCCTCCTTAATTTTTCAACCTTCTGTACTGCATTTTAAGGCCAGAAATCAGCAATACATCTCCACTCACCCACTGAACAAACAACAAAGGAGCAAGCACAGAAATTTGTAAACAAAAATATAAAATTATACAAAATAGATAAACAAAGTGGGCCTTACAATTTGAAAACCAACCTGGAAGATCTGCATGACATGCTGCGAGCCATAGTCCCTCTTTAACATAACATGATGATCTCCCCTACTACAGCAGACTGTTTAAACTGACACTCTTGTAGCTCTCTTACCACAATATTGCTGGCATTTGGAATTTCTGGAACCATTCCTGATGACCACACATCTTGTTTCATGTGACGAGGTAGACATTTTACATATAGATGTATTCATGCCATACAGAGATAATATAAAGGTATCTGCGTGTTACACAAACACGGTTACATGTTACAGTTTAGCATGGCTAAAGTGACCCTGAAAGGATTCTTTCAGTATACTTCCAATTACAATCACCAATGATTATCTGCCCTTGTTCAGTTATTAGGGCTAGGGTAAGTTACACCCACCACCTGCCGATTATAATACTTAGTATCAAGCAGTTCAAGAGTTTGATCCTCTTTGAGGTGTTGATTTAAATTGGTAAAAGCGCACTCGGTAAAGTGCACTACTCCAAGTTTTTTTGTACAAATTGTGTGTATAATGAATCAAACCTGTCTTTGGCATATTAAGCAATTATGAATGTCCTATTAACCACATGGCTACCCCACTGCACTGATCAAGACAAGAAGCCGACATCACTTAAATCATCAAAACTAATTAGATTCCCGAATTGAGTATTGAAAAATATATTCACAAAACTGTCATTCCTACAGACTGCCTTGGCAACAGAAATTTGGTTATCAGGATGCGAGTTTTTGCGATCAATGTCCAAGTTTTAAAGATAATTTCTTTTTATGACATTTGAATAAATAAGGGGAGGTAATCAATGGATTAAACTGACAGGAGGTCCATGCGGTGTGGAACGATGACCACATTCAAGTATTGTGTAGTAGAAAGCTACAAGAGTCGGCCATAACAAAAGAAAGACAGACGTTACATTAGCAGCAAGCCAACTGAAGATCTCAGATGTTGCCATGGTTACGTAGGCTTCCCAGCATGCTGTTAGGGCCAGCTCATCAAGGTCAAGGTTACTTGTCCAGCAGATTCAAACATCAGTGTGGCAGATGAACAAATGAGCAATCGAACGGAGCGTGGTGTCGATCAGTTGCCTGCAAACACATGCATTGTTGATAAAAACTAAAGTTATTGAGTTAATGCTGCAAAATAGCAAGAAAAATACATAGTGGAGTGTCAATGATAATTTCTGAAGTGAACTCAAGATAATGCCCAATGATTTAATTCTAAATGAAAGTAATTTGAGTAGTAATTGCAGTTTGATCCAGACCCAAAATGTCCTCACCTAGATTTCCATGCAGTATGTCACTACGGAATATATTCCACATTAATTTTTTTCAACTATACAAGGATCGTAGCAAAACAAAAACCTCAAAGCAAAAAAATAACAAATACATTTATTAGAAAAATCAATGCTGGTGGAAGTAGTACATTATTACATACATTACTACTAATTAAATTTGGACTAGTTGTTATCAGTGCCAAATTATTCATATTAATATGCTGCATGATGTAGGACAAATTATATGAGCCAATTAATGAGTGTATTGATACTCCACTGAAGAAGGCAGGAAAGCTAATTGTTATATGTTTAGTATGTCATAGTTCAACAGCTAAAAACATGAATGACAGATGAAGGAGGATTCAAAACTCAATGCAAGGGAGATAACTCTAAACTGATTTCACTCACTCAAAGCTCAAGCTTGGAAAAAATGCTGTTTTACACCATTTACTTGCATGAATTCAGTTTCGAAGCAAAAAGCAAGCATAAAACATTTGTCTTTGATGCTTAGTTTAAAAAACTCACAGTGAAATTAATTCAATATATATTAATACAACCAAAGCAAGCTAATTCAACTTCAGATATACTACATTTGCTGAGAACCAAAACAGTCATTTACATAGTGAAAGGTGTGATCCTTAGCAAATGTGCAACATATGGCATAGACATACACCCTAAACCTTTTTTTGAATATATACACAGCTATTTTACTTCAGAATTTCAATGTGAGCAAAAGCAGTATCAAGAATGTCTACATGCTACCAAGGTCATGGTCATATACAAGGTCATGGCCTCCTTGTGACTATGATCTAAAGTCAGTGCATGAGTGAGTGAGTGTGGCAACACACCACTGCCATGTTGAAGCAGTACAGAATTTATACCATGCTGGGGACACACGCCAAAGAGGAACAAAATAATGAAATGTTTGTTTCAGTATTGTGACCATGTGAGTACTGAACCAGGCACTTATCATTCTTTCAGGTCTGAGCTATTTGAAAATTTCCAAAGGTACAAACATATTTTTAAAAACACAATTCACTATTAAAATAAAAGATGAGAACTGTTCATCAGGCTTCCCTAAAAGACAAAATTTAACAATGAACAGAGATCTGTTCAATGTACTTTCATTCTCAAGTAAATTATCGAAAGTAATTGGAGATATTTGCCTCACTCCATGCAAAATCTATTAGCCAATCATGCATGCTTTTTATAATTTTCTTGAAACATTCATAACAACTGGAGCACTTGTTGCCTCAATAAGCAGTTGTCTATTAAATGTGGTGGTGATTCTACTAACATGCTAAGTAGGAAGTATGGAGATAGAAACTAGACATGTATTTGAGGCGAGAAAAGGTCAATTTGGGTACAAGATATATACCTAATCAATATAAACCTAATCAATATATACCTAATCAATATATACCTAATCAATATGGTATGTGTTGCTATGCCTGGTAGGAAACTAGCATTTCAGATATGCCAAAAATATTCTATAGATTCCTGAAAGTACATTCATCACTCAGACATTTTCTTTACTCCAAGATAGAATCAAATGTGTGATCAACTACTCATTGTACAAATGTAAAAATTTCCAAAATATTCATAAAAAAAGAAAAGTAAAAAGAAAAAGGTTGAGATACAAAAGATTGACATGCAACATGGTAAAATTCATGTAACCATGGTAACCCAAAAGATGGCTCCAAGGGACTGAAACAAACTAAGAACAAGCACGATGAAGATGAACCGATATGATGGCAATAAATATAATCTTTCACATATACAATGGAATAATATGAAATAATATGAGCGTAGATACTGAGCATAATAAAGGAATAATGGTGTCATTGGTCAAGCATGCTGACTTGCATATATCATGAGACATTAAGGCATTGTAGATCATTACAAACAAGGCAACTTTGTAGGAAGACATATGAAAAAAGGCTAAATGTTTGACATGTAATAGTCATCAAATCTCTCAGACTAGCTCATATCTACTGTATCAGAAAAGGTTTAAAACAATTACATGATATATGAATGCACTTAACTCACTCATTGATAACTCATTACACATTTTCTGGTGTCATTTTCAAAATATGGGGCCAGGAGTTTCCAGTCACTCAAATGTTCGCCGATTGGTTGGTTGGTTTGTAGCAATGCTAGCTATGCATTGAGACAATGATCTTTAAAATTACACTGGAAATTACCAGTGTCTAATTATGACACATACTTCAGTCTCATTTAAGTCTGAAAGTTTGTAAATTTGAATTATCGTAAACATCTGGATAGCAGCAGTCTGTATTGTAAAAAATATACTGTAAATTCTTGTTTAAAAACAGCAGGAATTACATGTCATGTGCAACCTTGTATGTATATTAATACAGAGTTATAGTCATCCTTTAAAATCTATGTAAGTCTGCTTGCCTGAGAATAAAACTGAATAAAGCAGAAATTATAAACATTGAAACATATTGGTATCATTAAAGGAGAAGGGGACTAGCTACAAGCACTGAGGATCTAGTGAAATAATGATCGCAGCGCCGTATGATTGGACAGATGTTTGAATATCAGACACAACTGATATTGTAGATAATATGGATAGAAAACAGCTTATACCACGGAACTAGTTACATCATCCGTCAACAGATGCATTCTGGGATGGGTTAGCTGGAACACTTCCCCTTTGGAAATCTTCATCCATAATTACAAACAACTAACATACCAAATATAGTATCTATAAGTTAAATCATGGCAGTAGAAAAACAGTGTAATCCTCCACCGTTCAGGGCAATTTATGCACTGCCTCTGTATATCACATAAACATTGAGGGCAAGATATACACTAAACATAGAGATTTTTTCTGGGTTACATCTTCTTTTTATTCTCGAGTACAACGTTTCAGGGCTTGTTCTGACCCTGTTCAGTTTACCTGATGATGGGGCCAGAACAAGCCCTGAAACGTTGTACTCGAGAATAAAAAGAAGATGTAACCCAGAAAAAATCTCTATGTTTATCAAATATCATCTTCTAAAATGCCAATCAAGCATCTAAGATATACACTGCCCCTGTATATCACACAAACATTCAGGGCAAGATATATACTGCCTCTGTATATCACACAAACATTCAGGGCAATATATACACTGCCTCTGTATATCACTCAAACATTGAGGGCAAGATATATACTGCCTCTGTATATCACACAAACATTGAGGGCAATATATACACTGCCTCTGTATGTCACTCAAACATTGAGGGCAAGATATATACTGCCTCTGTATGTCACACAAACATTCAGGGCAACATATATACTGCCTCTGTATATCACTCAAACATTTAGGGCAACATATATACTGCCTCTGTATATCACACAAACATTCAGGGCAATATATACACTGCCTCTGTATATCACTCAAACATTCAGGGCAAGATATATACTGCCTCTGTATATCACACAAACATTCAGGGCAAGATATATACTGCCTCTGTATTCCACACAAACATTCAGGGCAATATATACACTGCCTCTGTATACCACACAAACATTCAGGGCAATATATACACTGCCTCTGTATACCACAAATATTCAGGGCAATATATACACTGCCTCTGTATACCACACAAACATTCAGGGCAATATATGTACATTACCTGTATATGCCACCCATGCATTCAGGGCAATATATAATCTGCACCTGTACTTCACAAAATCATTCAGGGCAACATATATTCTGGACCTGTATTTCACACATACCCCACCAATGACTATAATACACCAAAGGCAATAAATATGCTATTTCTGTATTAAGCATGTTTATTCAACCAATGGCTGTGAAGTATTCAGGGTAATACTCAAATACTGTTGATGAGACATTCAGGGCATAGGAAGTAATGCAGTTTATCGCCCTGAACAATGGAGGATATCAGTCTGCTCATCATAGTCTCAAGAGCTCTACATATATCAAGCACCACAAAGATACATATTCTCAAATTATGCAGCCAGTCATATTAACAAGCCATGGCAACAACTCATTTCTTTGAGGGAGGGAAATAAGCCCCAAATCTAGAGGGTTTGGGAGCAGGAGCTGGTGCAGACGGTTTGGGGGCAGTTGCAGGGGCACCTGGGGACGGTTTGGGAGCAGTACTGGGTGGTGAGGTTGGTTTGGGTGTTGTAGCTGCTGCTGATGGTGCTGATGAAGATGCAGCTGCTGCACCATATTTTGGTCCTGCTACGGATCCATACTGCTTAGCACCAACAGAAGATGACCATGGTTTGGGAGCGTATACCCCACTGGATGCTGTGCCTGCAGACTTCATAAATGGGGATGATGATATCAAGGAAGTAGGACCTGGTTTGGCTGCAGCCTTTGGCCCTGCTGCTGCTGGTTCTGCTGCAGGCTTTGATTCCGCAGGTTTTGGTTCTGCAGCAGGTTTTGCTTTTGTCTCCCAGGGTCTAGCACCAAAAGGTTTAGCGGCTGGAGATGTTGGGGAAGGCTTAGGTTCCACCACAGGTTTTGATTCTGCGGGTTTGGGTTCTACTGCTGGTTTTGCTTTTGTCTCCCAGGGTTTAGAACCAAAAGGTTTAGCAGCTGGAGATGTTGGGGAAGGCTTTGATTCTGCGGGTTTGGGTTCTACTGCTGGTTTGGGCTCTGCTGCAGGTTTTGGTTTGGGCTCCCAGGGTTTCGAGCCATAAGGTTTATCAGCTGGAGCTGTTTGGGCAGGTTTGGGGGTGAACTGTGATCCATATTGCCTCTGCCATGGTTTGGGGGCAAAAGCAGCAGCAGGTTTAGGTGCTGGGGCAGTCTCAGTTGGCTCAGGTGTGGTGGGGGATTTTGGGCCAACATCCGGTTTAGGTGCAGGTGAGGGAGGAGCTGGTTTTGTAGAGACAGCTGGAACGTCTGGCTTGGCGGCAGGAACAGGAGGCTTAGGGCTTAGTGCTGGCACACCGGGTTTAGGTGAAGGGGCTGGGATACTCGGTTTAGGGGCAGGGGTAGGTTCAGCCAGAACAGGTTCTGGCTCTTTAACAGGTTCTGTTTTGGGTTCTGGAACTAACACTGGTTCTACTGGGATTGGCGGGGCCTCTACAACCGGTTCTGGCACCTTAACAGGCTCTGTTTGGGGTTCTGGAACTAACATTGGTTCTACTGGGATTGGCGGGGCCTCTACAACCGGTTCTGGTTTGGGTTCTGGAACAGGTTCTGGAGGTGCATCAGCTGCTGCTGCAGGTGTTTCATCATCAGCACCAGGAGGGGGAGGGGAAGGAACATCAGGTTCGGGAGATGGCGCTTCAAGGGAGGATACAACTTCAACTTCTAACACCTCATCAGCAGCTACAGGGGCAGGTGCTTCAACTACAGGGAGAGAGAGAACTACACTAGCTACAGGAACCTCATCTGAACCTGCAGATGGTTCTGAAGCTACTACAGATGTCTCACTAGTAATAACAATATCTTTGTCAGAGGCATCCTCTGATGGAGTAGCATCATCAGGAAGTTCTGTACCTGAAGATGGTGCGATCTCAGCAGTACTCTCTGGGGGCACCTCAGTTCCTTCAGGGGGCACCTCAGTTCCTTCAAGGGGAGGGGCTACTTCAACTTCATCACCAAGATCTTGACTTGGGGGTGGTGTTCCTCCTTTGCTAGGGCTAGGTGAGCGTTCGTCACCAATTTCTTGAGTAATTTTTTTCATGATATTGTCAAACTTGTCGACCCCCAAGTAGTCCATCTGGCCCCGTTCCCAGGCCAGCTTGCGTTCCCTGTCATCCAGAAACACCATATCACCTGTTCTGCCAACTCCACCCTCAATCTCAAGGCTGGCTAACTGTCCTACAAGTCCTCCCTAGGAAAAGAAAAACAGGCATTACTCTAACAATAAATTTTTTGAGAAAGTATATTCTTTTCTGCTAGAAACAGGTCTGACACTTTGACTGTGGATTTCAATTTCCTCATTCTTTCAATGTGATTTTTTTTATGAAAACACATGGTACTACTACCTTTATCAAACAGTCGCTTGATAAAAGTCCTTTACAAAGGTGCTAACACACATTATTACTTTTTATTGCTGCAGTTGAAGAAATTGAAATCCATACTAACATTGATAACGAAAAGCAAGTACAGAAGAGGGACAGCATGGTGCTGATAACAGATTGATAACATAAACGTACAAGACTGAATATATCATTTATTAAAAGTGTCTTTCACTTTGTCATATCCAGTGAGCATTCTAACAATCAGAAAAAGGTTGAATGAGTGAGCAAATTGGATTAAATGCCGCATTAAGCAGTATTTTGGTATTTTCACAGCATGTCAGCTTAATGTGTGAGGAGAGCCCGAAGTGATGCAGGTCTTATATATATACCGGGTATATATATATATGGTTATAGTACTGAAAAACTCATAAGCATGGGTGTAGGGTTGATCAGCGATTTCTGCCACTCCTAAGGTAGGTAACTCTGCACAGTGGCTTATGCCCCCTGACACAACTGCTCCACACAAGGGTTTCACATATTTTACTCATGTCAGGTATAGAACTCAGACCTTTGGTATAAAAAATGAATGCATTAACTGGTAGGCTATCCCACAACCTCTGAAAAAAAGACTAAATGATTGAATATGGACTGTTAAAACTAGTGCTAATATGCATACATGACAAACAGTGAATATTGTCTTTTATGACAAAAACATATTCCTGCAATCTAAGCCAGCCTGTAAATAATTATGATATTTTAACCAGTGACTGAAAGCATGAACAAAGATCCACGCTAGCGAGGTACAGAGACACACAGCTGACAAAGCCACAGACCCAATACTCACTTCTTACAACAAACAGGAGGTACAAAGCGCTGCAGGAATTGATATATAATTTGCAATTAAGTTCCCCTAGGGAGAGACTTTTTTTAAATTTCATATAGTTTAATTTAGATTTCATTCAGTGCAATATTTAACATGTTAATGCTGACTCTTCTTTATCAATCCTGGTGTCAATAAAATTCAAGTTAACACTGAAACATTACTACTACAAGAAAACATTGCAATATTTCTATACCAATTTGGGAATTTATAGAGAACTGCTTAAGACTTGTGTCTATATAATGAGTTCTTAGTTGGTGGAGACAAATCCCTGGATCACGGAGGAGCAGGAACCCTAAGGGAGACCACTATTGTTGCTTAAAGCTAAACTGTGAGTAAACAGCAGTATTCCAGCTACACAGACGGCCGGCAAACAGTAGAGTCTGATCAGCTGGTCCAGTGACTGATACAATGAGCTCAGTGTTGAGTCGTAAGCATAAGCATTCCATACGGAAGCATGAGAATATATGAAAGCTGTATAAAAAGCAGGTGAGAAGCAGGTGTATACACAGATATAATATGCATATGAATAGAGACATTTGGTTGTACTGATAGCAAGTTAGAGTGGAGGAGAAGGTGATTGAGTACCCATGTTGGGAATAGAACCTGGTCACCAGTGTGTCAAGCAAACACCAACCACAGGGCTACCTTAGTTAACAAGAGTTGATACATGAAGCAGTATGTTAACTACTGATATATAGACTAGCCAAAGCTCAGAATGTACAGTGCACCTGTCATATATAAATATATAATGTCAAAGGCAGACCAGTGATGCATTACTCTATTGACTTATTCACAGAGGCTTGTATGTATTCACTAATGCAGTATTTCTGAATGTGAGTTGAAGGCAACTGGAAGTAGTTGCATAACATGTGGTTTGTTGCTGTGTTTGGGGATTCACTGAATGTCTTGGCAGAGTGATTGACATTTTGTAAAGGCCGAGTTGGTTCTAAGCAAAATAAGTTGTATACCTTATACATAGACTGACTTTAATGCAGCACTTTAATGAGGACATAAATGTCAGGCTGAAAAAGACGCAGTAAGCATACTCTGTTTGACATGTACATCATCAAAATACAAACAGCAGTTGCTTGAACACACGGACAAAGACCAATCCCCAATCTTTAGAGAACTGTCCAGTCAATACAACCCCCAAATCACGTTACACCTCCTGTAACAGGTGCTTTACAACCCCCCATCATCAAGTGCTTACTTCCTCAGCGGCAGGTGCTTTACACCTAACAGCAGGTGCTTACTCCCCGTGCAGCTGGTACTGTACACCCACCCTAACAGCAGGTGCTTTACAACTTTCTAGCAGCAGGTGCCTTACATCCCCTCAACAGCGAGTGTTTTACACCCCCTAGCAGCACGTGCTTCACACATCCCAGCATCCGGGTATGTTATCCTAGCAGCAGGGGCTTTACACCCCCAGCAAGTGCTTTACAACTTCCCAGCAGCAGGTGCATAAACCCCTAGCAGGTGCTTGAGTGAGTGAGTGAGTTTGGTTTTACGCCGCTTTTAGCAATATTCCAGCAATATCACGGCGGGGGACACCAGAAATGAGCTTCACACATTGTACCCATGTGGGGAATCGAGCAGGTGCTTGAGGAAAATACACACACATATACCACCACCCAAGCATAGCCTACAAGCCAGGTTACTAGTACACTGACATGATTACAACATAGACTACTACACATTGGCAAGACATCACAGCTTACTGGCTCACTGGCACATTGACTAAACGGCATTGTTGCCTTACCTCTCACTCAATAACCCTACCTTGTTATCGGCCATGACAATTGTTTCAAAAAACCACGGATACCAAAATGAATATCACCTGTTATGCCTAACTCTAAACAAGTCCTTGCACATGTCTATCGTTATCTGTGACTATGCTGTCTGACCTGCATTGTTCCCCACCACACCTACTGTCACTGTAGACAATACAGCACAAGCATATGTTGGGTGGCCAGGATACAGCAGGTGCTGGCCAGTATGGCCAACATACAACTGGGCACACAGACATACTAAATGCTGAAGAGGAGGGGACAGGGGACAGAGGACAGGTAATTAAGATGTGATGAAGTTGTCATCCACATTGTCTTGCTTCTATAATTACTAATTAACTTAAAAAATGCCAATCAAAGAAAGAGATCAATGGGAAATTGGGTTTTAAATTATGACTGAGTGCAGCGTATGAAATAAGGCTCGTCTGAGCGCCTGAGACGGGCTAGATTTCTGACGGATGGTCTAAATTTGCAGCTAGCCAGCCCGATGGTGTGGTAAAAATTGTAGATATTTCATACTCTGAGTAAGTTCACCATATCTTGTGTCTGGTCTGGTTAAATCCATTTTGAGCTGGTAACAGTTTGAAGTTACCAGTCCTGATGTTAGCCTGGGTTTTTGGCTTATTTCATACACTGGTGAGTGAGTTTAGTTTTACACCGCTTTTAGCAATATTCCAGCAATATCACGGTGGGGGACACCAGAAATGGGCTTTACACGGTGTACCCATATGGGGAATGGACCCCGTGTCACTTTAACCACTAGGCTACCCCAACGCCCCTTTTAAATCATGTTCATCACTATCACTTATATCAGAGAAACTGTGTGTGTGAGTGGGTGAGTGTGGTGAAAGTATTGTGTGTGATGTGTGTGTCTGTCAGTGTGGCTGCCTTACTTGGTCAGACTAATTCCAGATTTACACTCCTATCACTATCAGACAAAGATACAATGACAGGTTAAACATAGATCATTCAGACACAGTACACTGACTCAAGGCAAACCAGCCCCCCCCTCGCAAAAAACAAAAACACTTGTTGAAATTTTCCCAAGTCATGTCACATTTCACAGGGACCAAATAAAAGGTATACCATTCACATCATACAAGAAACAGTTTACAGTGACTATTTCTACACTTATCAAATACTTCTGGAAAGAAATGTCATTATAGAGTAAATAAATAATATCTTATCTGAGACACGAGCATGAAGATGTGAACATTTCTGATGTCACTTGGAAAAAAAGGAAATCGTAATTTTGAGATGCCCCCCAATATGAATGGTTCTCACTACTACCATACATCCAATAGAACTCTAAAGGTGAAGGTCACCTAACTGTCCTTGAGAGTAACACAAGGTCACACAAGTGGTTGTTGCACGCTATGCATTTTGCAGGGTCACTATGACCCTGCTCATCGGCTAAGGCTCTGTTGTGGCAGAGCTGGGGAATCAATTAGCTCCCACCTCCTAGTAGTGTGGACATCTTTGTGCTATTTTCACTTGTAGCATTACACTGACATGTTCTGTACTCCTGTTGCTACACATCCTGAGACAATAACCTCAGTATCTCTCCTGCCGACTGCCATGCCTTTTGTGTAAGCATCAATAATCATCTTTACAAATTCATCCTGATGGTACAAAAATTTTACTTTAATTTAAGTGCAAACCATTATCATGAAAATTGTAATCTTTGGAATGGAATATATAGCATACATTTTTCATTAACTGCATATAAAAAGAATTATATTATATTCACACATACCTAATTTTACATTTTACATTTTCCTTACATACAAAACAGTTTCATAATTTTTTTATACGAGAATTTATTTTTTTAAAAGTGAATTTAAAAGAATAATTAAATTCAATAAAATTACATTAGTTTCAGACAATATACATCAGACTGGTCATGAACCATTTCAAGATATTTCTCTGATTTCAAGGGAATTAAGGAATTCAAATAAAAAAAGAAAGAAATTAAAATCATCATTAATATTAAGTAATGTAATCTTTAATATCATTTCAGCCATCATTTGATAATGATTGCAGCAAACTTTTCCATGAATACTAAAGAGCCATACATTATGCACCTGGATGTATGACTGGTGTCGTCATGACAAAATAACTTTGAGTGAGTGAGTGTTGTTTTACACCAGAGCAGCCACAACCACCCCTCCACCATACACACACCATTATGTATGATTAA